GGTCAGTTGTGGTTGGTTCTGGTCAGTTGTGGTTGGTTCTGGTCAGTTGTGGTTGGTTCTGTTTCAGTAGAACTGGACCTCAGCTCACCTGGCGTCCATCGATGGCTCCTCTCATCTCTTTAAACGAGGCCTCAAATTCACCGATGTAATCATGTTTCCCATTAGAGTCCCAGTCCCACACCGTGCACTGAGGGACAGAGAGACAGCAGTGAGTCCTCAGAGGACAAAGATCACTGAGGGACAGAGAGACAGGGACAGACAGAGACAGACAGAGACAGACAGAGACAGACAGAGACAGACAGAGACACAGGGGCAGACAGAGACAGAGACAGACAGAGACACAGAGACACAGGGACAGACAGAGACACAGAGACACAGGGACAGACAGAGACAGGGACAGACAGAGACAGGGACAGAGACAGGGACAGAGACAGGGACAGGTACCTGCAGTTTTCTCTCGTGGTCTCCGCTGCACAGAGAGTTCAGAGACACTTTGAAGGTTTTCCACACAGGGTTCAGATTATTCATCACCGTCTGAAGGACACAGAGACAGACCTGATCAGACCTGGAACCAGATCCAGACCTGTTGACCTGACACCAGTCCTCAGTCCATCGCTTTAACTGTGAAACTGGAGCCCACCAGGACAAAGGTTCTGGTCCTGCAGCCTGGTGTGGGTCAACATAACCACTGGTGTGGACAGTAAATATCTTACCTGCTGTAGGTGGCTCCTCTTCTGACTACACTGATGAGCTAATGGCTAGTCTTCAAACAGTGAATGTTCTGTTTCAAATCCTTTAGCTTTTCTGTCATTCTCACATTACATCTTCATTCACAGACAGCAGCAGCAGCTAGCTGTAGCACTTCCAGAACATTTCTGCTGGATGAATGATTTAACACCAAACTGAAGACGATGGAAAGAATAAATATTTCCATGAAGACGAGAGTCTGAAGACTGGATTTTTAACTGCACCAGAGGTGCTACAGCTAGCTGCTGCTGCTGTCTGTGTTTGTAAACAACAACAGAACTCCATGTAAACAAACTGAGGTGACAGTTTATGGAATGTGTTTGCATCCAGAGTTGAAAGGATGTTCAGTTTTGTAAATTTTTAAAAATATATTTTAACAGGGACGGAGCCATTTTGTTTCCACGCAAAGCATTCTGGGTAAATG